CTGACACCAGGGCAGCAGCTCCTCTGATAACAGGAGACCTTTCTCTTCAAGAAGCCAGCTGTGGAGATCGAAACACATTATTTTCACATAAAGCGGTTTTCCCAACCCTTCAGCTGGGTGAAAATACAATTCCATATATCACCATTATAGATGAGAAATGCAGTTCAACACATCTGGAGGGTGCTGGGTTGGGGAAGACGGATACCACATGTTGGTGAAGGAAAGCCCTGTGTGACACTTCATGATTTGCCAGTTTCATCCTTTGGTGGTGGGGTAAGGAGGGGGAGAAGCCATGTGGCTGTGGTACACAGCTTTGTCCTGTTTCTCCCTACACGGCTTGAGATTCGGATCTCTGCAGTAGTAGTGTGTGTGTTCTGTGCTGTCAAGTTGGAACCGACTTATAGCAACCCTAGGAGGACTTTCAAGTGAGATAACTAAGGAGTGGTTTTACCAATTTACCAGAGAGTTTCCATGGCCAACTGGAGATTCGAACTCTGTTCTCCCGGGTCCTAGCCTGTCACTCTATCCATTACACCAAGGGTCCTAGCCTGTCACTCTATCCGTTACACCACACTGGGAATCCCAGGGTAGAAGTGGCAGTAATGTCAGCAGAAACTTCAGCAGCAGTGGCGCCAGACACAGAGGCAGCAGCAGTGGATGGGTGTATATTATTGGGACTGGAGAGATGAGAGACTTACACACAATCACCAGTACCGTACCTTAGAATCATAAAATCATAACGCTGGATGGAGCCAGTGCAGGAAATCCCTGAGAGATGGTCATCCAGCCTCTGTTTAGAAACCTGCAAGGAAGGGAGTGTCCACCATGTTGCAAGGTAAGCTGTTGCACTGTCTTGGATTTGGAGAAAGACAGGCCAGGCCTCTCAGGATATGAATCTTTGAAGAAGTTTAACAAGGAAGCAAAACTATTTTGTTGGAAATTGAGTCAGGCCTGGCCAGATAAAAGAATCATGTTTTCCTCCATTGCTGTCTTCCATAACAGGATGTGGGAGTCTTCTGAAAGCTTGTATTGTGCTTGATTGTTTTCAGAGATAGCTTTAAGTTTGTGCCCCTTGACTACTTTGTGGAGTGGACTTCTTTCCTGCTATGTCACATTTGCCAGTTGTGTAACATCATCCACTGCAGTCACAGACATTGAACTTCCACAGTGTAGCTCACTTTGTCTGGGCGGACTTAAACGGTGATTTCATTCAACATGCTGTCCCTAGACAGCAGTATGTCATTGGTGGGTTTTTCCAGACAATCTTGATCTACTGGGAGAGCCAGAGAATTGCAACTGACTGCGGTGGGTAGCCAAATGATGTCAGTCTACTAAGGGCTTCTGTTGGGAAACAATCACCAAGCATACACCTAGTTGTAGTTTCCTTTAAGTGTTTTGGGGGGTTTGGAGGAGCCCTGTTAGGAGATCCCTTTGTTTAGCTACAGCAGTGTTTTCTGTGGGCATTTAAACCCACTGTTCTCTAGAGCAATAGACCAGGCAGAGTGAGCTTGAAGCAAAAAAGAGCTACTGAGATTTATTTAGAAAACATATTGATAAGAAAGCCTGATTTCTAATCAAGATAGTACCAGACTGGAGCACATGGCCTCAGGAGAGGCAATAACCCACTCAGAGAGAGAAAGAGAGAGAGGGAGTGAGAGAGATGTTAACAGGTCGAAAGGAAAGATAAGACTGACCAGAGAGGACAGGAAGTGGCAGGTCTTTAATTTTCTTTGGGCCAACAGGAAGCTACAGAAAGAGCCAATGAAAAGGACAGACACAAACTGTTCTAATTCACAAGCGCCCCTATTTGTGACACATAGGTGCTAAAGGGGAATGCTTTCTGAAGAACCATCCAACAGTTGTGAAATCAGCAATGATGCCTGCAGCCAGCTACTGCAGGTCCTTTTGTTAGTGACTTTGCTGATAGCAACAGTCATGAAGAAGAGTCTCTCCATAACCACAGGTAGTGTATCTCTCTATTCAAGCATTGTGAAACATTAAGAAGAAAGTGTTTCTGTCCCCATGTTCTGCTTGTGGCTTTCCACAGGTAGCCAATGGGCCGCTATAGGAGCAATGTATCTTGGTCTCCATCAGCCTTTGTTCTGATTCGGCATGGTGTTTCTTACTTGTTTGATTTCTTAATCCATCCCTTTCTTTGGTGGGATTCTCAATAGCTTCATAGCCAGAATGCTAATTTTATCCACATGACAGCTTGGAGAAGTTCCTTTTTTAAAATGCAGCTCCCAGAATCCCCCAACAAGCTTGGTCCCTTGCCATGTTGGATGAGGGATTCTGGGAGTTGTGATCCAAAACAGTAACTTCCCCAACTCTGCTTCATCTGTTCTGGCTCAAACCTTCAGTTGCTCCAAAACATCAAGTACTCCTGGAACATTCATTGGCATCCCTACATTCACAATTCAATACATTAGTCATATCTTACTCATTGCCAAGAAAATCACACCCTCCTTGTTCATTGGACCACTCCAGTCCCACTCCTCAGTAAATTTCACAATTTGTTGAAGAAAGGTCAGATAAGTTGCAAGAATATGGGAACATGGGGTAAGTAAGAGAAGTACAGTAGAAGTATTTCCCATACTATGCCATCTAGTCTTCAGGAAGGTCTAGATAGAGGCTAGTCCCAACTTCACACATCCTGAATTCTTATGAGGTATTGCAGCTTATAGTGTTCACCCTGTTCATGAATATTTATGTCGAGATTTGCATGCACCAATAGGAGCTGGTGAGGTGGAGTTAAGCGGGACAGAAGAAAAGGAGGAGAGAGAGAGAGAGAGGAGAGTGAGTGGAGACGAGGAGGGAAAAGGTTGTTTAGTTGAGAGTTAACAACATTGACTGGACTGTTATCACCTGTAACAATTAACAATTTCTACTTGGTTCTTAAATGATATGTTGCCGAGACCTCTGTCATTAATAGTGAACAACGTTGATGTAATCAACTGGTGGCAGCTGAACAACACATAGCGTGCGCCTTTGTTTGGTGAAACAACCAAGGCCACGCGGGAACGTGACACAGCATTGCTAAAATTGCTCAATAGTAACAGGTCAATTTTAAAGACCTTCATAGAATAAATAAAATGCTTCTTTCAAGATGCTGTGCTCCTTCCATTATGCACTGCCACTACAGACCCTGTGTGTTCAAAATTCTTAATTATTACACTTGAGAGACATTCCTACACAGACTTAATTGAGAATAATATAACTTTCTTAATCAATGGTACTGTACATAAGATTGAGCTGTTATCCAAAGTCTTCACCATGTTCTATTAACCGTTTGGATAAAAAAAATTCTGCATTAAATTTCTGCCAGAAAATCACCCAGTGGGTTCTCATTTTTGTTGCCCTTTGCTTTGGTTTTGCCTTTAAAAAAAAATCTAGTTTTAGCCTCACAGTAGGAGACTATGCAGCACTGAACAGGTTCCAATGGTGCATCTTTACAAGATTCCACTTGTATATCTTTCACCCTGATTCCACAGTTAGGGACTGTGGCAGTTATAACCCAAAATATATGTATGGCATCAGAGTGCCCATCCTTGTTGTAAAGGGCAAGTCTTTGTTCAGGTATTTTTCCCTGTAGGTTCAGAAGTCTTCATATGCAAAGAAATACAGGGGAAGGGGGGGGGGAGAGAATCTACTAAATACCAGTTCAAATGTAACAGTAAACTGTAATTTGGAGCTGTAAAAGCAAATTTGGACTTCCTAGATTCACTCCTCCACTTCCTCAATTTCTGACCAGAATACCTTCTCTTCCTTTTTGGTCTGGAACCAACCACAGCCTGCCATTTTATCTAGTTACTTAAAATATGACTTGCATTTACTCTGCAAACCAGGATTGGAAGCCAGGGTTTTTTTCTTCCTGGTCTCCAACCCTGGATTGCAAGAGAAGTAAAACCATTTTGTTGGTTCGTATAGCATGGCAAACAATGGGTTTCCTCAAACCAGAAAGGAAGGGGAAAGATCCGGACCATTCGATATGGCAGTGTCGGAAAAGGAAGGAAGGCCCATTTTTCTTATAAGAAAAGGGCATGGTTCTGGCATTAACTCCCAACCCGCCAAAGGGGTATCACAGATATAGGTGCCAAGGCAAACCATGGAACATGAAGTGTGTGCAGCAGGACCATACTGGGTACAATCAGGTCACAGCTCACAAAGGGGCAGGCATGGGAAGAATTGGTCATATAAGGACTTTAGAATGGTCGTCCAGAAGCCAGATACAAGTGTGGCAACCAAGTCAGATGGAATGAGCTATGTAAACGAAGGTGGGATGAGGCCAGGTAAAATGCCGGAAGACCTGCCCTCTCAAACAATGCTGCCAGAGTGCATTTAACCTAGAAAACCTAGCCTTGATCAAACTGGTGGCATGCAGCCAGATGACCTTGATCACACTGCTATCTTCTCCAAATTCTCATGGCTGGTTAGCATCAGGTTAGAATAAAATGGCATAGGACATATCTGCACTATACTGTTTCAAATTCAAACCTGCCTCAAAGATGTTTGAACCCAGCTAAACTGTTATGGCTTGACCTAAATTATGTGGCTGCAGTGTTGCTGTTGATTCTTACATTTGCTAGAGGTCTTTAGCCCTTCCTACTATAGTCTCCAAGGTTGTGTAATTTTAAAAAAAGTGCCAGTGAAAAAGATTTTGCAAATTAGAAAGTGTAGAGTACTAAAATGTCCCTTGTGATCTATATGGATACTGTTTATTATTGGTGTATTTTTTATTTTATTTTTTTTTCTCATACTGAACCACGATTTTTCACTACAGCTTTCAGACTCAAGAGACAAACACTAAGTGATCTTCTTAGCACATATCGAGATCTGGTGCTCCCTCAAGTGGTGAAATGTCTCTGTTGTAACACTTAAATTGTAAATTAAATCAGGGGAGTTGCTGGGGTTTGCTTTCCTGGGGGCTGCCTGAAAACCATGGTCCATATGATGCCAACATATGGAAAGAACTCACAGGAAATGTTCTTTTGGGTTGACAGAGAGAGCAGCAGGAGTATACCACAGAGAAGGAAGGGCGGGAAAATACCAGCTCACCTACTTGGAAGCCAAGGCTGTGTGTGAATATGAAGGAGGACACCTGGCCACCTATCAACAGCTGGAGGCTGCAAGAAAAATAGGTATGAGCCTGGAGTATATTGTATCACTTGGGAGACAGAGAGTGGGGATAAACAATCCAGTTGGAATTCCCCTGCATGCTATACAGTGGGGTGATGCAGCTCACACCCTGCATGCAGAAAGTTACCCGGATTCAATCCCTGGCATGTGTAAGGAAAAAATCCTCTCTGAATTCCCATTGTCCTGAATTCCTGGTTAAGTAAATTCATAGTCTCGCTCAGTACAAAGCAGCTTTCTATATATGTCCCTGAGTTATTCACCAAACAAATTTCTAGAGAACTTAAATGAGGACTCCGGTAGTCTTTAATTTGCATACCGTAAACTTTGCCTGTTCAATCAGAAAGTGACCAAACTCCTTTACTGTTCACTGATGTGTTTTCTCTCTCTTTTTTTCTTGGTCAACTCTTTCCCATAGAAGTAATACTATTAATGGGTCAGAATCCTGTTTCTTAGTGTACTAAAATGTACTACTACTTATCACTTGAATCTAGGGATTTGGTAAGTGAGCTTCTCTATAACTTCTATTGATTCAAATGGGCCTACTCTAACTGTGACTTCCTATGCTAAAGCATGTCACAGAGTAGGCCCATTTGAATCAATTGTACATAAGGACGATTCACCACATCCCATTGATTCAGTGGCCTTGCACAAATGCAATTTACTAAGCTAAACAACATGCTGTCCTCTGAAGATGCCGGCCACAGAGACTGGCGAAATGTTAGGAAGAACAACCTTCAGAACACAGCCAAAGAGCCCGAAAAACCCACAACAACCATTAAACAACATGACCTTGACAAATTTTCTTATACAAATACTGAGGACCTAGTGTAACATTTATGTAAAAAGTTCAGTTCAGTACTAATATTATCTGTTCTATAAGGGCTGTATACCTATACAACCCACACAGCATGAAGTCCTAATCAAGTCTCAGCCATCTGCACAAGCAAATGAATTTATGGTCATTGTAAGAACTATCTTTGATCTACTATTTTCAAACTTACTGAACTGTGAGTTGAGTTGTTAGTTTGGAATCAAGGAATGTAAACGACTTGAGTAAAATGTGAACAATCCTGTTGTATTGCAACAAACGAAAAGGTACAGTTTGTTGACAAACCAACCAACATGATATATGACCAAACTGCTTGATAGATGAGAGCAGTGTATGATGGATGGACCTATTGCACACTGCTGACTCTTTTGCTAGCTCATCTCCTTAGAAAGGCAACAATCTATGTTCTAATACAGTTTTCCAATGCTCAGAATGCATTTGTAGCTTGTCAATCTATCTATTTTAGGAGTAGGTGCTTATTTTATGGAACTTGTGATAAAGTACCATTTTGATCTCCTTAGGTACTTCAGTGCATCTCCCAAAAGGAATGAAAGTTTTAAGTAATGTAGCGCCATGGCAGCTAGCTGTTTCCTACAGATCAGTCATAGGCTGTTGCTTCAACTAGCAGGGTTAGTAATAAAAACATAAAGGAAGTATGCTCATATCTCAATGACAGGTTCTCAGAGGCACCATTTCAGGATTCTGCAGAACAACAATGTAAGAAGCTTTCAGCAGCAAGGGTAAAATTTATGACAAATACTTTCTCTTGGATAATGCCAAGATTAAATGGGGGGAGCTGTATATTTTTAAAATGTGTTATTGTTGTTTAGTCGATAAGTCGTGCCCAGCTCTCCGTGACCCCATGGACCAGAGCACGCCAGGCCCTCCTGTCTTCTACTGCCTCCCAGAGTTTGGTCAAGTTCATGTTGGTAGCTTCAGTGACACTGTCCGACCATCTCGTCTTCTGTCGTCCCCTTCTCCTCTTGCCGTCACATTTTCCTAACATCAAGGTCTTTTCCAAGGAGTCTTCTCTTCTCACAAGATGGCCAAAGTATTGGAGCCTCAGCTTCAGGATCTTTCCTTCCAGTGAACACTCAGGGTTGATTTCCTTCAGAAT